CAGAACAGACTCAAACAAGGGGTCAGAGACAACGAGCTCCACAGAACCAGGCCTCATCCGCCCGTCCATCTGCATCTAAGCCACAATTTTGAAGTCTTGGTTGAGGGTATGCACAACCTCCCCACACCTCTAGCGCCAACAGATACCCCATCCCACAATTTTGGTCACCACCTACGCCCATTTTACCCTGCCTGGACTGCAATAACCACAGATCAATGGGTTTTGGAGATCATACAATCTGGCTACACCATTCCTTTCACAGCTATCCCCCCCACCCTCCCCCCGTCCCCGTCCCTCTTCAGGGACCCCTCTCACAATCACCTTCTACAACAGGAAGTAGACCACCTCCTACTGCTGGGTGCTGTAGAATCAGTACCACATCAATACCGAGAGAGGGGTTTTTATTCCAAATATTTCCTGACTGAGAAGAAAGGAGTGGGATGGAGACCAATCTTAGATCTCCGAAAACTCAACAGGTTTGTACGCAACCACAGGTTTAAAATGGTCTCTCTGGCCACAATAATCCCAGCGCTAGATGGGGGCGAGTGGTTTGCAGGCCTCAACCTCCAAGATGCATACTTCCATGCCCACAGACGGTTCCTGCGGTTCACAGTAGGACCCAACCACTACCAATACAGGATCCTTCCCTTCAGACTGTCCACGTATTCTCAAAAACGCTTGCGGTAGTAGCAGCACATTTTCGACACAAAGGAGTCATAATCTTCCCCTATTTGGATGATTGCCTCCTCAAGGGTGCCAATCGACAAGAAACCACAATAAACCTATTTCACCAGCTAGGTCTACAGAGAAAAAAAAGAAATCCACCCTGGAACCAACCCAGCGATTGGAATTTATTGGAGCTGACCTAGACTCCATACAAGCCAAGGCAATATTGCCAAACCACAGATTCACTACATTGACCAATCTTATTTCCACAGTGACCATCAGTCCACAAACTTCAGTGAGGACATGCCTTCAGATTCTGGGACATATGGCAGCTACGACTTTCGTAGCAAAGTATGCCAGACTCCATACACGCTGTCTGCAGCACTGGTTGAGCATGGTCTATGCACCCAGCAAACAGTCTCTCAACAGATGTGTGACACTACCACCAAGAGTTATCCTCTCCCTACAATGGTGGACACCGCCAGGGAATGTATGCTCCGGGATTCCCTTTCAACAAGACCCCCCCATCAGTGACTATTACAACAGATGCCTCCCTGATAGGTTGGGGCGCCCAATTGGGTCACCACAATGTACAAGGCAAGTGGTCTGCGACGGAAACCAAACTACATATCAATCTCCTGGAACTCCGTGCGGTACACAATGCATGCCGACACTTCCTCCCACTCATACGAGAAACCTCAATCTCTATTCTCACCGACAATGTGGCGTGCATGTTTTACATCAATCGCCAAGGAGGAGCCGGGTCTCACTTGCTATGCATAGCAGCCATGAATTTATGGAACTTCTACATCCGCATCAATATAAACATCACAGCATCATACCTACCAGGGTGCCAAAACACTACAGCCGACAACCTCAGCAGGCACTTCTCACAGGAACACGAGTGGAAAATCCACGACAGTGTTCTCAGCACGATATTCCAAAAATGGGGTCACCCAGTAATTGACCTTTTCATCTCAGCAACAAATCACAAATGTCCACTATTTTGCTCCAGGGCAGGCCTGTCACTGGGATCGTTAGGGGATGCCTTCCTCATCCTGTGGAACGCATCACTCATGTACACCTTCCCGCTGATACCACTGATCCCGGGTCATCTGCAAGATACGATTCGACAGAGCATACATCATTCTCATTGTCCCCACGTGGCCCATACAGATTTGGTTTCCGTGCCTCTCAAGTCTAGCAGTCTGTGCCCCATAACCGCTGCCTTTCCGGACGGCCCTCCTGTCCCAGAACAAGGGCCTGACGCTCCATCTAGACCCAGTGAAACTCCATCTCAAAGCGTGGCTCCTCTCTGGTTCCAACATGGGGAATTGAACTGTTCAGAGAAAGTAAAACAGGTATTACTAAATAGTCGTCGCCTCACCACTAGAAATACTTACCGCCACAAGTGGAGAAGATTCTCCCTTTGGCGTCAGCAAAAACAGCTGGATGCGACCACGGCGCCTCTATCTATGATCCTAGACTACCTACTAGAACTGAAGGAAATGGGGTTAGCCATAAGTTCTATTAAAGTACACCTGGCTGCCATCACGGCCCTCCATGAGCAGATAAAAGGGGCTTCAATATTCGGTCACCCGATTACACCATGCTTTCTAGCAGGTATGCAGAACACGTACCCAGAAGTACGCCAGCCTGCACCACCATCTTGTGCTCAAATGTCTCACAAGACCACCCTTCGAATCTCTAGCAACCTGCTCACTCCTACATATGTCAATGAAAGTCGCATTCCTAGTGGCAATCACGTCTGCCAGACATTTCAGCGAAATAGGAGCATTGATGGCTGAACCACCATACACTGTATTTACCAAAGACAAAATCATGTTACGTCCTCACCCAAAATTCTTGCTCAAAGTGGCTATAAATTTTCATATTAACCAAACCATACACTTACCTGCCTTCTATCCCAAGCCACATAACAACTCTCGAGAAGCAACGTTGCACATGCTAGATGTCAGACTGGCTGTAGCCTTCTACTTGGACAGAACTAAACCATTTTGCAAGTCACCAAGACTTCGTCTCTACAGCAGAGCGCTCCAAGGGCTCTACAGTAGCGACCCAGAGACTCTCCAAATGGGTCTCTACCTGTATTCAAACTTGCTACCACCTGCATCACAAAGAACCTCCCATGGGCATCAGCTCCCACTCAACACGAGCCATGGCGACATCGATTGCATTCTTGAACAATGTCCCCCTTAATAGATATTTGTAGAGCTGCAACCTGGACATCGGAGCACACTTTTGCAAAGCATTACGCTATGACCCAAGGCCTTGTCTCAGACTCTATCGTTGGCCTCACAGTGCTCTCATCACACACTTATACATAACTCCGAACCCCTACCACCTCTGGTGGGGTACTGCTCTACAAGCACCTAGCGTGGAGCACCCACAGGGACACCACTCGAAGAAGAAGTTACTCACCTTGTGCAGTAACGATGGTTCTTCAAGATGTGTGTCCCTGTGGGTGCTCCACTACCCACCCTCCTTCCCTCTACTTTGGAGTTCACGCCAAGCTCTGCGATAGAGAAGGAACGGAGGGGACAGTCAGGGGTGCGCACGCTACAGGAGGTGCCAACGGCTGCACGAGACGACTCCTGTGCACGCCCTTCCCCCGACCAAGTACTGCTGCGAGAAATCTCTGGTGCAGGGACGCACCAACACCTAGAGTGGAGCACCCACAGGGACGCACATCTCGAAGAACCATTGTTATTGCACAAGGTGAGTAACTTCTTCTTATAAGCATTTGATAAATAACATACTACTGAATCCACCTTAATTGGGATACCCAAGTTGCTCATCTTTCATTCTGATTAAGGAGAATTTGTGACTAACGAGGTGGTGCACTTTTTGCTTGTATCTGAAATGGTTCTCAAATTGCTTTGTTTTGCTCACATTTAACTTGCTGGTTCTCTGAAGAAATAAAGATGTTATAGGTCTGTCACTTACAAAACAAACAACACCACACAGAACAACAACAGTTATTTTTACCCAGATTGAGCTAAAATGGAACTACCAAATTCAGGGCCTTCCAGCATCCTACCAGTCCTGTACTATTTACATCCTTAAAAGGGTTAATTTTCATCAGTGTTTCAAAGAGTCTAGAGGGAGATAACACTTCTGCTTTGGCAAACAAGCACTGACAGAGGCCAAGGATTTTTGAAAGGTGTCAAAGCACCATCAGCCTCTGAACATTACAAAGACATAGTATCCCTATTTGAGTACCACTACTCATATGTTGGCATCCCAATTAAGTAGAATTCCTTGGTAGTATAGCTTGGCTATCCTGGGAAGTATCCCAACTGAATTGTGTCCTGATTAAGTGGAGAGTGCAGTACAGCCATGAAGAAACATCTTATATTTTACAATATTTGCATAGCAGAATACAGTTCACAAGTACAGCATTAGTAACTATTGTAAATTCTTTTATTGTAGTGTCAGTTACTTGGAAGATGTTTTGTATATTAAAATATGATACTGTGCAAGCAGGTTGTACAGTAAATATATTGTCTTTATAATTCATTTATGGGCAGCCCTTAAAATAAAATAGTAAGATGCCTTACATAGCTGCTAATGTACTGTGTTGGTTGCTTACAATATCTCATCTGCTTGCTGACTGTCACCCAATCCTGCCATTGTATAGAACCCTACATTCCAATGGCAGATGAATGGCGGGGTTGGACCCCACCTTATATTCAGAAAAAATATGGCCCATTAGACTGAAATTGAATGGATTGAGGCCAGTCTGAGTACAGGGGTGGTGAACAATTACTGGACTACTGCCATATCTCAATCTCGAGTTGGGTTTTTAAAAACTAAATTTTATTTATTTTAAAAGTTTTCCACATTAGCTTCAATAACAACAGGGCCCTCCTCCAATTCACCTATTTTGGCAAAGAATGAGCAAAATAAATATTTTTTCTTCCAGAGAGAAGGAAGGAAGAGGGGTTGAAAGAGGAAGAGAGAGTTATGGGGGCTTTAAAAATAATCATAACAAAAATATTCTATATTAAAGAGGCGGCTAATGCTTCCCAAGATGCTGAGGGTGAGAGGCAGGAGTGCATGATTCAGTATAATAGTAACGATAATGCTAACTTAGTGGGTGTTCCCTGTTGATCTGATAACTTCTCTGCTTTCTACCTCATGGTTTCAGTAGCCCAGGATACTTTTATTACATGTTAAGGCAGGGATCACCTTAAAACTGACATCTACTTATGTCTCACTAAACAAAATGCTCGCTGTGATAGTTTAGCAAATGAATGCGTCTTTTTCAAATACTTAGTAGAGACATATTTCTGCTTCTTTTTTACTTACAGGCGCACACATAGGCATTGGCATCAGTGGTGAGGAAGGAATGCAAGCAGTCTTGGCCAGCGATTACTCCTTTGCCCAGTTCAGATATCTTAAGCGGCTCCTGCTTGTTCATGGCAGGTGGTCCTATTTCAGAATGTGCAAGTTCTTATGTTATTTCTTCTACAAAAACTTTTCCTTCACTCTGGTGCATTTCTGGTTTGGCTTCTTCTGTGGCTTCTCAGCTCAGGTTAGTTTTTGGGAGTTAAGTTTATAAACCAACAAAACAATGTTGTGTATGTTTAATGTACCCACCTATGAAAAGGGGTGTTTTTTTAATTATTGGATAATTAGAAGTCAGAAAATTGAACTGAACAATCCAAATGTTTGAGTGAAAATCATTTGGAAGTTAATTAAAATCATATTAGTCTTTATTTTCTTTAAAAAAATTAACCTGACTGTAATTATTATATTTAATGATTTCCTTCATTTCCTCCAAATTGTTGAGACATTTCGTGATTTCATTTGTTAGGCCAGGCTGCCTTATGCTTAAAGGAAAAAAGAGAACCATATGTCTTAATCCAGTAAATAGTTTCTTTAGGACTAAATCCTGAGGCTTGATTGTGTGGTTGTCAGGAGTACTTAAATCTATAAATTCTGCAGGTCACATAAGTAGGCTACATGCCAAGCCAACTGATCCTGACTAAGCTCTAGCCAAAGTGTAAGGTAACATAAAGGTGTCTTGCAAAGCTGCTTGGGGACATGGGGAACTCCTCATGTCCTTCAGCAAATCCTGCTTTTCCTATTTCCTAACGTTTGATCTGCAGAAGTTACTGAAAGCCCAAGGCCTTCAATAAACACCAACCAGCTGCTGTCAGCGAGGGAGACCAGGAGTAGAGGCCCTGTATTTATTTGTTTATTTTAATTATATTCTTGGGCAATTAGGAGCGGTTATTGTGAGTAATTGTTTCTCACCTTCAAGTTGTAGTGGGGGACATGGGTCTTCAGTCCAGTGGGCCCTGAATCTGATGTGTCCTGGCTAATCATTTCAGATTTGTTAGATAGCAATAGTGAATTAGACGAGTGAGGCCCCTTTAAGTTTCTCCAGCTTCCTTTCTGTCATGGGGAAGAACCAGCCCTTTCCCAACTCCCTTGTCCAGAGGTAGGGAAGCACTACATATACTCAGTATCCTCCAGATGAAAAGTGTCATCTATACTAGTCAATGTTCAGTTTTGAATAAGAAAAAAACAAACCCTTTACTCTTGTTTGAATTTGAATGCATAGTCACATATTTATTGAATGCTTGTTTGTATATATGAATATTTACTCAACATCCTGGGGATTTTGATCTGGGTCTCTCTCTGTTGGGAAAGAGTAAAGGGTAGTAACTGGGGCTGCACTGGGAATCTGTATTTTGGAGACCCACATTATAGTGAGATGTTGCTAAAAGCATAGCAAAGGGCTCTCTCAAAATCTTTCACCTCAGTTGGAGATACATGCGACATTCCATGGGTTAATACTCTTCCTCCACTGCCATCCCCTGAAGAAGTGCATACCCTCCCTCTCAAATCCATCAGTCCTTCCACTCCCATTCCTCTTGACACACTGTACTTCCCCCTAGCATCTCTGAAAGCCTTTACTAGGTAGCTCTCCATACCAGGCAGCTGTGCCTCACAGCAACAGTGTTGGTGTCAACAGATCATTTTGTGACCTTTGGCTTATTGGGTGATTATTCAGATGGGCAGTGAGACCTCCTCTGGTGGTTCAATTGGGAAATTAGTTGGTAACCCTTTGGTTATTGAGCTGGGCAAGCTTCCTAGCAGGCAAAGAGGGTGGCATTGGGGAAGTGGGTCTCCCCTGTCTACTTTGAGGGGTGATGTCAGGAAAAGGGTGTACTCAGGAAGGATACTGACTCTTCAAACTCAATACTGGGGCTGGGGAGAGACATGGGCTGCAGCAGCAGTGCCATTGTCTGTAGATGCATGCAGTGGCAACCTGGGAAGGGGAACCATTCCTGAGGTCTGCTGTCATGGTTTCAGAAAAGAGAGGATCAGGAATTGTATAAAACCATGAATAATGGTAGAAATATTTTAAATGTCTGAGCCTTGGGAAACAACATTTGTATTTCTGGGGAAGGAGAGACATTTCATAATTACAGCAATTAAACATAAAATTTGGTATGATTTATAGAGCTACATAGTGTTGGAAAGATTTATTGAACACTAGAACATCAATATTCTTTTCATGAATACTTTGCCATTTTGGCTCATCTTTATAAACTTAATAGATGGAAGAAAGAATTTTCTCAGCAGTATAAACTATACATCTTAATTTTGTTTTTACATAATCTGGTGTAAAGGCATAAGGTTTTCTAGCCATTCTGATTGATTCAAAATAGAGGACAAATTTCCATGACTATGTTTTGAATAATAGACTTATTAACGCTGCATATTCTCTCAACCCACTGTACTTTGTGGAATGCACCAAAAATACATAATGTTGAAAATGAGAGGGCTTTGCTTGAATGTGGATCTTAGGAAGAACTTGTGGAAGGATTCTCTTGCATGACTTATGCAAAAATGGAAATCTGTAGGATAAAACTCAAGTGTAAAATGGCACAAGGAAAGGAAATTAAGTAATCTGATGGCAAACATAGCTGTATGACTGGGGGCCATCAGCTTAACTGCCAGTATACTGGAAACTGTATCAATCTTTTATTTTTTCTTCAGAAAAACTCTAAGATTTGCACTTCTGTCCTACATTCAGGTGGTTGTCAGGAACATGTTGCAATCAGAGGTTGTCAGCTCTTGGCCTTTGACCTCAGACCTCCCAGTACACACTAGACCAGAGGATGTTTTAGATCCCACATTGTTAGGCAATGTATCAACACACAGTAAGAGGCCATTCCTGCCCTGAAGGGCTTACATTCTAAATAGGCAAGATAGACAAGGATTGGGAGGGGAAACAGAGGCACAGAAGTGAACTGACTTGACTGAGGTCACACAACAGGCAGATCTGTGATTAGACCCAGGTCTCCTGACTTCCAATCCAGGGTCCTATTTCTGGACCATACAGACTCTTGGAAGAAGCTGAGCATGCACTGGGCTTCCTTCTTGGTAAGACAGTTTGTCAAAATCACATTAAAGTGGTGTTCCACATTCTACACTGGATCTCCATGCACTTCAAAGTCCTGGTCCTAATTTTTAAAGTCCTTAGTGGGTTAAAGATTAAACTATCTCAGAGATGTCCTCTCTGTGACTTGCCACAACAGCCACGTGTAGCGAAGCGAGCCTCACCGGCGCGGTGCCTCCTGACGGTTATCCTGGGAATTAGCTCTTGTCCAGCATGGAGTGCCCTCTGCAGGCTGGTGTCTCGCCTGCCTTAGGGCCCCCCTGTCCCTCCTGGAGCCCGGTGCCCCTTTTCCTCTGGGTTCTGCCCCCAGCAGTAACCCACAGTCTGGGTCTCAACCCTCTATCCCCACCTTGCCTCGGTGGCTACTCCAGTCATCATCTAGCCCCCACTCACTGGGGCAAACTGAAGTCTGTAAAAGGCCACTCATCATTGGCAAGGGGGCGTGGTCGGACCAGCTGCCTCTGCCTAATCCCGGGCTGCAGCCTCTGCAACCCCAGTACGTGTTTTGGCCTTTTAGCAAGGCCCACAGCCTGAGGATTTACCAGGCTGGAGCTCCTCAGCTCCCCTTGCCTTTCCCCAGCCCTGCTCCATTCCCTGTACCCTGAGCTCCCAGGCAGCCAGGTCCTTCTCTCTCCAGAGCAAGAGAGACTGACTCAGCTCCTGGCTCACAGCCCCTTTATATGGCCAGCTGTGGCCTGATAGGGGCGTGGCCCCAGCTGGGCTGCTTCCCTAATCATCCTATCCTTTTTTCAGGAGCAGGGCAACTGCCCCACTACGCGCCCCCCCTCCCCCCCAAAAATCCCCACCACTGGAGGTGGGGGGACTCTTGGCCTGGGCTGCCCGAGGCTACCCCTCCAGGACCGCCCACTTCATCTCTGAAACCTCCCAGCTTCTGGCCATCTCCTGCTTGTGGGCCTCCACCTTCCGACAGGCCTGCTCCGCAGCCTTGAGCCGTGCCCTCAGGTACATATCTCCCAGACCCTCCACCCTCAGGGGCTGGGTCCACTTGGTGGCCTGTCCCACGACCACCAGGGTCCCGGCCTCTTGCAGGCCCCACTCTGTCTGGGTTTCCTCATTGGTGACTGGCTCGGCGATGGTCTGGGTCCCAGCCTCCTGCTGGGTCCTCTCCATCTCCGTCGCTTCCTCCGCCACCTCCCATGGGTGGCCTAATGACCGGTCAGCCATTATTCCTGCAGCCTCCACCATATCCAGTGTTGCCCCTTCCGGGTCCCCAGGCACCTCCTTCGGCCGCCTCTCAGTTTCCTTGAGGGGGCAGTGCCTCCTAATGTGGCCCAGTGTATGGCAGCCCCAGCAGGCTCCCCGCCTCTTTCCTGCCTTGGGTCTTTCTTGGTCCCTCTCAGGTCCCACCCTTTCGCCAGGGCGGACCTGGACCCTCCATCTCGGGCCTGGGCATGCCCACTGCATGTGCCCTTATCGCCCACAGGCCCAACATGTCCACAGCCACCTGGGTTCCCTCAGCTGGCAGACTGTCCTAAGGACTTGCCCCTGACCCTGCTTGGGCTGAGGCGCCCTGCCCCCACCCCAATAGGGACAATCCCTTTGTAAATGTCCATGTTTTGTACAGGCATAACACGCCCTATGTTCCCTGCCCGGCCTCCGGGTCCTAGCACTGGGCTTTCCGTCCCGCTCTCGGCGGCTCCTCCGAAACTCCCTCCGAAGGAGTTTTACCAGGCCCCCTGCTCCTCCGCCAGCTGGCCCAACTTTTCATGGAGGGCCCACTGCACCTCCCAGAGTCCCTGTAGGTCATCAGCCCCCTTTTGCCAGGGAGCTGACGCCTGTCCCCAACCAGGGGTAGCAGCTGGGGCCTCTGCAAAGAAAGCCCCAGTATACCCGGGATCCATCATCCCTTCCTGTAGCTCCAAGCAATAGTCCCACAGTCCTTGCCCTGCCCTTTATATCAGGGGTGGACCACATGTGCCCACATTCTCCACCACATGTAGCGAAGCGAGACCCACCAGCGCAGCGCTCCTGCTGGTTATCCTGGGAATTAGCTCTTGTCCAGCCCGGAACGCCCTCTGCAGGCCGGTGTCTCACCTGCCTTAGGGCCCCCGTGTCCCTCCTGGATCCCGGTGCCCCTTTTCCTCTGGGTTCTGCCC